ACCTTACCCCTAGGAGGCATCGTTCCAGGTAACAAATTTATGGCACAATCATAATCCCGGTGTGGAGGTAGTTTATCAGCTTCCCTCTTTTCAAAGACCAATGCGAGGTCTGCATACACAGGAGGGACAGAAACAAAAACAGAAAGTGGTTTAGCTGTAGGCACATTAAGTAAACAAACGGGATGTAAACGGGCCATACAGTCTTGTTGACAAGATACCCCCCAGGAGAGTATATCTAGAGAACCCCAATCGAGTACCGGGTTATGCCTTACTAACCAGGGAAAGCCCAGAATGATGGAAGCTGTAGGGGAGTCAATTATTTGGAAGGTTATCCTTTCTTTGTGTAAGGCACCCACGACCATAACCATTTCTTGGGTTTCATGGGTCACCAGAGGTTTATCAAGTGGTCTACCATCTATGGCCTCAATGGCCAAGGGTGTGGCCTTTTGATCAGATTCAAGGCTGCGGTTTTAGCAAAGTTCTCATCCATAAAGCTGTCTGCAGCACCTGAATCGATCAAGGCTTTAGTTGTTATTGTGGTTTTATTGACCAAAAGAGTAACCGTGATAAATGGTCTGGAGATGGACATATGATGGGAAAAAACCATAACACCCGAGGCCGACCCCTCTCTAGGCCTTAGGTGCTGGAGTTTCCCTGCAAACTAGGACAGTTTCTTCGGAGATGCCCCCTCTTACCACAATAAAGGCACAAACCCTCCCTTCTGCGGTTCGTTCTTTCAGCTTCAGATAACCCTACAGCACCTAATTGCATGGGTTCGGGAGGTGGTTGAGTAGGGGGAGGTAATGCTAGTAATGCAGTACTGGGTAAAGCAGGTAACCCCTGTGTGTTCATCCTTCTTTGACTACGCCTCTCTCTAATACTGTGGTCAATTTGAATGACATAATCTATTAGGTCATCCAGAAGAACAGGCATTTCCCTGGATGCTATTTCATCTAATATGTAAGCGGCCAAACCCTCCTGAAAAGCTGTTACGAGAGCGTCGTTATTCCAGACCACTTCAGCTGCCAGAGTGCGGAATTCAATGGTATAATCCGCTACAGATCTATTACCCTGTCGAACCCTAAGCAGAGCTTTGCCAGCAGAAGCAACCCGGCCGGGTTGGTCAAACGTACGTTTAAAAGCTGTTAAGAAGTCTGAAAAGGACATTGGGGACGTATTCTCCCACATGGGATTAGCCCATGCTAGAGCTATCCCGGACAAATGGTTAATCAAAAAAGCAATTTTGGTTCTTTCAGTGGAGTAGGAACGAGGATTCATCACCAAATGAATATCAATTTGGTTGAGGAAACCACGGCACAATGCTGGATCATGAGGTGGCGTCATGTGAACCACGTGAGCAGGAGCGGGTACTGGATCAGGAATGGGTTCTGGCACAGCAGCAACAGCTTCTTGGACGGCAGGTTGCAAGTGGGCAGTACGAGCCAGTATGGTTTGTAACGCCTGGGCAAACTGATCCATACGGTGGTCTAAACCATCCATTCTAGCCTCCTGATTCACTAACAGCTGTGGAATGTCAGCAGGTTCCATGGTGGCCCTGTTGTAATGTCACGATTCCGGAACCTAACACGCTAACAGGTCACAGAGAGGAAGGGTGCTATACCGGTCCTTAGAGTGGCCGGGCTAAGCACGCTAAGAATAGTCAGGAGACAAGCCAAGTAAAGGGAGCCAGAAAACGGGAGAACGAGAAACAAGCCGAGGTCAAAGGAGTGGAGAAGACAGGATAATCGGAATAACGAGCCAAATAATCAGTAACCAGAGAGCAAGATGAGAACACTACGCTACAGGTATCACAAGACCACAACAGGGCACTGAGGGACAGGAAAGGTAAGTATAAATACCCTTGGTTTAATTCTGATTGGATAACTTCCAATCAGAATTAACAATCACACGTGGGGGATATTTATACCTCCCACTGTGATTGTGGTACTGTTCCTTTAACGCCGGGTCACTCACGTGACCCCGGCGTTTACATAATTCAGTGACCTCCCAGCGTGCAGCTCGCCGACAGGTAAGCAGAGGGGAGACCTATGGCAGTCTGGGGTGGTGGAAATATGACGAGCAGTTCCGTCAACGGTTGGCGGTGCGCCCCTCAATTTCGTGGGAGCAGATTGACATTGGCCTCTGGCTCTCCACTGTGACCTGCCCAGCACCCCAGCAGGGTGGGTTCTCGTCCTTTCTCAGAAGGGCGGTGGGGGGGTCCTCCTCCTCACCGGCCGTGCATCAGAGGCCGGGCTGTCGTTGAAATTCAACGGCAGTCACTGCAAATGGGGGGCATCTTGCCATTTCCAGCACGAATGTTCCACTTGTGGGGAAGCCCATCCCGCCTTCCACTGCTTCAAGCGGGGTAAAGTTGGTGAGATAGGGGTCAGAGGGCGATGGCGCCAGTGGTCATGAGCGCGATGCGCCCTTGGCTCGCCAGTTTATAGGAATTGTCGGGCGGCTGGCATCCTACTGGATGGGTTGAGCATGGGTTTTGGACAAGTACCGTCTGATACACCATTTATCGTACCCCGGGGAATGACGACATCTCTTGGGAACTCTGCCGGGTATCTTATGCCTCCTTTGACATGGCGGTTGACATGGTCAGGGCCATGGGCCATGGGGCCTTGTTGGCCGAGGCTGATGTGGATTCGGCTTTCCGTCTACTGCCGGTGCACCTGGAATGTCACCATCTTCTGGGCTGTGTTTTTATAGGCATGTATTACGTGGATATGTGCCTCCCTATGGGTAGTTCCATATCCTGTTGTTACTTTGCATGCTTCAGCACGTTCTTGGACTGGGTGGTGAGGGAGGAGGCTGGGATAGACTCCTTGCTACACTACCTCGATGATTTCATTTTTGTGGGTCCTGCCGATTTGACAGCCTGTGCGCTGCAGCGACGGGTTCTGGGTGAGGTGTACCATTAGTTTGGGATCCCATTGGCACATGGCAAGATGGTGGGCTCAGTCACTTTCTCAGCTTTCTGGGCATTCAGATTGACTCTTTGGTGGGGGACTGCCGCTTGCCTTTGAATAAGATTCAAGGCTGGCGGCGCGAGGGGGCCTTGGCCAAGTGGCGGCGCGAGATTCAGCTGCGCTGCCTGCAGTCGTTCCTGGGTGAGCTGAATTTTGCCTGTTGGATCATGCCCGTGGGGCGGGTCTTTAACCAGCGTCTGGCTACGGCGACAGCCGGAGTCTCCGGGCCTCGCCATTTCATTCGGCTCACTCGGCCGCTGCGGGAGATTTTGGCAGTTTTGGTTTCCTTCTTAGCTGCATATCATGGCCGGTCCTGCTGGCAAAGGCCGGAGGTTTCTAACGCCGACCTCCGCCTATTTACGGACGCGGCTGGCACGGTGGGGTTTGGAGCCTTCTGGGCTCTAGTTGGTGTGCTCCCGTGTGGCCGGACAGTTGGCATGTCTCTGGGCTCACAAAGAATCTGGGCTTTTTGGAGCGTTTCCCCATTTTGGTGGTGGGGGAGGTCTGGCGGTCACGTTTTCAGGATCTAAGGGTAGTGTTTCACTGTGACAATTTGGGGGTTGTTTAAGCCATTACTTGGCTGACAGCCTCCTTCCCTCCAGTGGTTCGCTTGCTTAAGGGGCCATCGCCTTGCAGG